ACACGAAGAAGTTCCTGAAGGCTACATGGGCAACCCTTGTTGCCGATGACGGTTACGAAATTTCCCAACCCTACCCATACCAAATCCGCAACAAGGGACAGGCAAGGTTCTTACCCCAGTCCTCAACAACTTGGGACACTTGAACCTTAACCTTCGGAATCGCGGTTCAATCTCCATGGGCAAGCTTGTCGCAATTCAATGGGTTCCAAATCCAGGCAAGAAGACGAAGGTCAGACACATTGACGGTGACAAGCTCAACAACCGTAAGGAGAACCTCGAGTGGTTCTAAGAGTAAAAAAATTTTATTTTAGGGGGAAACCCCAAGTAAATTTAGGTGTTTATTTGGATAAGTATGTTAAATTAAGGGTAATTTGCAAAATTAGTTCCCGACCTTTGAATTGGGCTCTTTCGTTATCCCAGTTGCGTAGGAGGTCGTCCCAGAGGAGTTGGTAGAATTGCCAATCCAAGGACGATTTGTCCTCCCAGGCATTGAGGATGTACTGCTCGTAGAGTTTCATGACCTCTGCCTTGCACCAGACACCCTCTCCCTTGGAACGTAAGGCTTCTTCGAAGTGCTCGAATGCGATTGGCTGCGTGACCATCCGAAATGACACTTTTTGTCCGTTTGGTCAATGTTCGTGTCTCGTGCCATAGTCGATGAAAATACAGACAAACAGGTTATATATGAGTTTGAGACCAAGAATGGTGTAACTCGACCTGTCCGATTCAAAGACTCCGAGGGCGACCATGAAATTAAACGGAAATTAGCTAGGAAGGAATATAAAATGGACTGGTTGCCACCACCTCCACCTCCACCACCTTTACCTGTTCCTCAAGTAAATAAGCCTTTCCCGTTCCCAAGAATTCCCACATTTTAATTCAAATTCGAATAAAAATTTTTTATTTCATGCAATGTTTTATTTCTGTGCCGTCTTCAAGTATGCCCCAGTACTTACGCTTGGAGAGGACATGAACTTCGGTGAAAATTTTGTCCAATTTGAATTGACCCATCTTTTCACCGACCAACCCATTTCAATGAGTTTGTTGTACCCTTCTTCGTTCGTCATGAGTGCGTCAATGTTCTCATAGTAAACCTTCACTTTGGATTTGACTTCGGAGAAGAATTTGTTGTAGTTGTCAAGGACTGCCTTTGCGAACTGAGGGTAAGACCAATGTTCGACAATAGGTTTTAATGTGGTTACTAAGCCACTTTGACCTTGAGTGAATTCGTACTTCAAAACAAAAGGAGAAAACCTTTCAACAAAGTTGTCGACCTTCTCATAATGTTTACTCTTCATCTCTTGAGGTTTCTTAATGGAATATCCCCATGTCGAATTCATAAGCAATTTGAGTGTCATTGCAAGTTTGGGGTTTGAAGCTTTCCTAATATCATACAGTTGTTGTATGACTTTTCCAACTGTATAGTTCCTTCCCGGGAACTCACCATCTTCGTTTGGAATTCCAGTCGGAATATATTGGACAAACCTCATGTATGCAGCGTTAAGGTCGACATAGTATATCTTTTCATTGAGTCGAACTTGTCGCAACCAATTGGTCCAGTTTGTGGAAATTCAAGTGAGTCTCTTATCTTCTGAGAAACTTCTCCTGTTATCTCATAAACATCGTCGAAGCAACCTGTTTCATATAAAACCTTCTGACCTAACTCAGATGCTCTCCAATACAATTTGACGTCAATTGGATGTCTCAATGGAAGTTTGTTTATAGCATCTTGAAGTTCTTGCAACCTCATTGGAAGTTCTTCTGGTTCAGGTTGGTATCCGAACAATCCAACTCCTTGTGGAATTGTGTACTTCTTTTGTACTAGAACTTTGTCTGGAACAACTTTTGGTCTTGCTAACAGTGAAAAGTTTGTTTCGTCTTTTGGTACAAAAGTTTCTGTCAGCTTGTCATCTGGAATTGGTTCCAACAAACCTTTCTCGAAAAGAATGTTTACAGCTCTGACAATGTTGCACTTGCCTTTTCCGAACAATGGGTTTGTAAGACTTTCGTTCAACATGAAGTGGTTGTGGACAATTGCAATCTTCAACCATGGTAAATTGAACTCAACAACATAGTCGTCATGTGAAGAACCTTTAGCTGTAGGTATGTTGACTCGGATATTGACATTTGCCAACGGTGCAATTTTTGCCAATTGACCTCTGAGAATGTACCTTGTCTTCACACATGACTCAAGATACTTCATCTTCTCATCTGTAACAAGACCAGAGTTCCTGAGACATGTAAGAATGCAAGGTTCATTGACAATTGTTTCAATTGAATTGTAAATTCCATACCTTGTCAAGTCAATGTCAGACTTATTTATGAAGGGGAAGTATCCAGCATGTTGTCTGACTGCTTGAGGGTTAGGTTGGTACCATTCGAACTTGACACTTGCAATTCCTTCAATTGCATTCAAAATGTCTGAGTCGGAGTCAACCATTTGTTCTCTCTTTGTAGTCTTGAAAGCGTCAAGAAGTTTTGCAGCTGTTTGTTCATTGCCATTTGCATAGTAAATGTGACCATCCAAATCTGTTATGGTCAATCTGAGATTGTATCCTTTCTTATTTCCGTCTTGAATGCAGCAAGTACACCCATGAAGCCTTCTTTGTTCTTTCCTTCGTCAAAGTTTACTGTAAAGGTTCGACCAGATGTAATTTGACTTCTAACTTCACGATACTTTTCATATGCATATCTTGTTCTTTCCATGGGAGCATGACCATCCTCTGCACTACCTTTTTTCCTTCTCAAAGGATGCAATTGTTCGTCATGTTTCCAGTAGAATCTGGCAAAGCCGTCGTGTCCTTCAACTTGAGGTTCACTAACATCGAAAGGCATGTCCATAAGACGTTCTTCTTCTAACCTCTCTAGTCTGTTTGGATAATTTGCACGTGCTGTTTCCAAATCCATTTCGTAGCGAAGACCAGCCAGTTTGTCATAGACTTTTATGGGTCTTCCCTTCTATATTTAAACTTCTTCGAAACTCTCCAACCATATCTTTGCAACTCTGCTTTTATTCTAGCAGATTTTCTATCCATTCTATATGGGGCATTTTTATAAAAATAAAAATATTTTTTTTCTTTACTTTACATAACCGCCTGCTGCCATAAGTCTTTGACGCCAACCCATACCAGCTAATGAAGGTTGACTTGGTTTAGTTTGGAAACTAAACTTTGGTTTTGGTTTATCTTCAGTTTTTGGTTTTCTTCTTCTATCGGTTTTTCGTCACTTTTCGGTTCCTTGACTTTACCTCACCTGCAGGAACAGTTGTGTCGTCAACATCTTCATAAATATCATATGCCATTTGTTTTTGTTTTCCTTTCAACTTTTTGTGTTTGTTGTAAAGTTTAGAATATTTCGACTCTAAGTCAATGAGATGTTCTATAATGAACTGTTGGTCAGTGAAGTAAACTTTTCCATCTGTTGTCTCGAAAGCTCCTTCAGACTTCAATATTTTATTTGTGAGAGTCTGTTTCTTTTTTGAGATACTAGCCGTTCCATTTCTATGAAAAGTGACTTTATAGTTAGGGTTTGTATTTCCAGACCTGGCACTTTCTATTATTGAATTTTTCTCTTCATCTGTAAGTTCTTTGACAGGTTTTGACAATGGTTCTGAACTTTTTGTTTGTGGTGTCAAATCTACCGTTTCAACTTCTTCGGTCATTTCATCTCAGTAAAAAATTTTAGTTTGGTTTGTTTTCAACTGGTTGTTGTTGTTTTTTAAGTCGGTCTAAAACTTCCTGAGGTATAGGAAGAACTTGACAAACACGTTGTGTAACTGCTGGAAGTCGACAAATCCATCTTGAACC